ACTGGCTGGAACCCTCCACTGGGCTCTCCATGTGGCCTAGGCTTCCTCTGAACATGATGGCTGAGTTCCAAAGGTGAGAGTCCCAGGAAAGACAGCAAGCTAAGTGTCCTTTTCAGGATCCAGCCTTGGAGCACGTCTGCCTTACTCACAGGTCAGGAGTATCACAGTCCCTGCCCGCATTCAAAGGGGGAGAGCCACAAACCCACCACCGGGTGGCTGGAGGACACTGTCTGCTTGTAACGTGTGGACTGGGATATTTACGGGTGTGCCATTCTGGGAAAATACAATCTGCCACACCTTCCTTTCTAAAATAGATCAACAGTCCAGAACACTGACTTGAGTCTCTCATGTTCTGTTATTAATGACATTTGTCTACAAGGCACAGACTCAAAACTGTTTTTGACTTGCTACGGTTTTTCTTTAGGGAAGTGACATACAGCTGTCCACACCACCAAGTACAAAGACACCTGCACCATAGTGGGAGCCTTTTTCATACATAAAACCCTCAGCCAAAACCCAGGAGGCACTGGGCAAGCCCCACCATCCCCTGTGGGTCTCCATTTCTTCATCTGCAGGGCTGCCTCGGAGCTGTGAGATCCCTTTCTAACACTAATCCCATGGCATTCTTCAGCCAGTTCCCTCTTTCTGGTAAAAATGTTTCTTAAATACCAAGAGAACCCCAGATAGTCAACTTCCCATTGTAGGCAATAATGGAGAAGTCATATTTAGCTTCTTAAAAGTAGAGGAGCTGAAGGAATATTGACAGACTTTCCCTTCTATTTCTGCCTTGCTTAGTATGTTTAAAAGCACTACCTAGCCCTAGACGGTTTTGCTCAGTGGATAGAGTGTCAGTCTGTGGACTGAAGGGTCCCGGGTTCGATTCCAGTCAAGGGCACATGCCTGGGTTGTGGGCTCAATCCCCAGTAGGGGGCATGCAGGAGGCAGTCGCTCAATGAATCTCTCATCATTGATGTTTCTATCTCTCTCTCCCTCTCCCTTCCTCTCTGAAATCAATAAAAAATATCTTTTAAAAAAAAAAAAGCACTACCTAAAATATCCAGAAAACAAGAGAACATGGCACAAGTAATGAAGACCTAACTGAATTACTTTCTTGTTCAATATTAGACCTCCACTAGACTCCTGTATCACATACCAGGCTCCATAATTTCAGAAGGATGGAAGAACTGAAAGGGAGTCAGAGAAGATACACTAAATAATTCAAGGGCTTAGAAAATAAGACCTAGGACAGAAAGGGTGCAGGTTATATCCTGGAAAAGAAAAGGCAAGGGGGAAGTATGATGCTAGCCCAACAAAAGCATGAAGGCCTGGGTTTCAGGCAATCCAGCACCAGCAAACAGGTGACCCCGGGCAAGTCACCTGACCCCTTGTGACTTGGTTCCCTCATGTGAAGAGAGAGAAGGTTGATCTGGATCATCAAAGTCCCTGATCTCTGATGATGAAGAGAAAATGAGTTTAAGCTGTCACATATGCCACTGAGGTGAGACACGCGACAATGCGTCCGAACTGTGAGCCCAAGGACACGGGAGTGGGGACCCGGAGCTCAGTGGTCTCCGGGATGGGTCGGGCAGCAGTGACTCACCCTGGGAGGCAGGGCCTGGAGGATGACATCTCAGAGAAAAGGCTACATACCCTGGAGTGCGCTGCAAGAATTTTTAACACATGCGATACCCCGCTAGGTAGTCAGAGGCACTGACCTCTTTTCCTTAGACTGTCAAATACAGAAAGGACAACAGCCAACACAATAACAGCATCCGGTGTGAATGAACCGAAATTATACCTACGCTTCTGTCAGATCATTAAAGGTTTGGTAACTGGTGTGTGTGCCATGAGACGGAAAAGGTTGAACATCGCTGTTCTAAAGCAAAGACTAAGTAAACACACACAGGAGCGAGGGTTAACCCCGGTGGAGCCTCGCCCGCCCCGCTGTTCTGTGGAGATGCAAACCGGCCTGCACGTCCCTGCGGCTCCAGTTTACAAGATGGGACCCTGCACGTCCCGGGAGCCCCTACTCCACACCCAGCAGCAAACAGGAAAAAAGTTTTCTTGCCAATTTACATATTTTCACATTAAGTTACGTCTTCCTTGCGGCTGAGAAGAAGGAGCCCCTGTAGCTTGTGGACAGGACGCTGGGTGGTTTGGGGACAGGCCACCTCGCATCTGGCTCCCCAAACCCTCCCCGGCGACCCCACCTCTCCCGCCCGCACCCACGACGCCCTGCGCCCGAGTTGCACAACCGCCTCCGTCCAGCAGCCGGAGGCCCGCGCTCCCAAGGCGGAGCCACAGCCGACTTCCAGCTCGGGAGGGAGGGGCGGCGGCCGGGCGGCGGGCTCACGGCCCGGGGCTGTCGGGGCCACGATGGGCTCGGAGAGGGGCCGCTGCTCCAGCCGGGACCGGAGCCGAGGCGCCCTCTCCCCTCCCGCGGGCCTCCCTCGGTCGGACTCCGTCACCCCCGGGGCCAGCTCCGAGCTGCGGCCGCCGGCTCCCGGCCCGACTCACCAGGTCCCAACTTCCCGGTTCCCGCTCGGCCGCCTCGGCTGCGGGAGCGAGCCTGGCGCCCGGCGCCTTCCGCCTGCCCGGCCGCCGACGGGCAACGTGGCCCTTCCCCGGGGGCGGGGCCGCCAGGGGGCGGGGCCGGGGCGGGGCGGCCGCCGACTCCCAGGCCGCTCCTTCCCCGCCCGCCCTCCCGCCTGACAGCGCGTTTCCCGGCCCGATGTCGGGAGGCGCTGTGACCGCCGGGCCCTTTCCGCTCGCATCGGCAACTGCACCGGTCGCTACCGACCCCGGGACACCTCGACCCTCCAGGCCCGCCCTCTCGCCTCTCCCTGCCCAGCCCCGGACTGGGGAGCAGAGCCTCCTGAGACGGGCAGTCCTGGGGAGTGCGTTTGCCAAACTCGAGGCCAACAGTCTGGGGGCCAGCTCTCCCGAACCCCGCAAACGCTCCTTCCGGGAAGGAGTCAGGGGCAACATAGGGGGGCCCCAGTACAACGTGAGAAGAGGAACCGGCGCCAAAAGGGAGGGGGTGGGTGCATGACACCTGTTGCCCAAAGCAGGAGAGGCCAGCTGCGTTTCCCTCTTTCTTTTTGGTGGGGGTGGGGCTCAGGGGGTGGGGGTGGAGGGTGGGGGTGGGGAAGGAGAGCGGTTAGTCTGAGCAAAAGCAGAGACGGACATGTCCCAGGGTAGAACCAGCACCCACCTAGGGAGGAAAGGACTCACTCACAGGGTTGAGAGCCCTGTGAAAGGGGGTGGGGGCAGAATCCAGAAAAGCCTGCAGGCCAGCGTCTGACATGAGACGTGAGGGTGGGGAGCGGAGCACTGCCTGCTCTGCAGACTTCCCTGAGAAGGGCCAGCGCTGACCTGTGCTCAGGACACCCTGCACTGGCATCGCACCTCCCATCCGCCTCCCTCCCCGCCGCGGGCAGAGCAGGCTGACCTCTGTGCTGCTGGTTCCTCACTGACTTCGCTGGCTAACTCGTTTCTACATGAAACGTGAATTGTGCAGGTTCTAAAGAAGCGAGGGGCAGGGCATGCCCTAAAGGCCCTACATGGACTAGAGGTGCTGAAACCAAAGTACACAGAGGCCTCCACAGGCCAGACCCCTCCCTCAGCCTCTCTAACCCCCCTAGCAGCTCTGCATTATCATCCTGTTCCCCAGATGAGGAATGTGAGGCGCAGGGTGAAAGTGCCAAGTAATGGAGGTCATAAGACCTAGAGGGGACCTGGCTGAGTTTTAGACCCAGGCACCCCTGCCTCCAAAGCTGGAGTCCTCATGCACACTTTCAGCAAGCGCTCTCCGAGATGTCTGTGTGTCCAGCCTGACAGGCGCAGCGTGGGCAGCAGGGAACCTTGGTAGAAGTAGCTGGAGCTCAGCCCCGAATGAGCAGAGTGAGAGGAGAGCGGGCACATCTGTGAGGCGGGACTGTGTGTGTCCCCGCCTCCAGCCTAGCCGACTATGTGGACTATGGCGGGCGAGGCGAGCCCATGCTCATGTGCCGGCCAGTGGCCAGCATCTGCACCTCTGCCCTCTCGAAGCTTTTCCTCCTGTAAGGGATATGGGAGGTCTACACACTCACACTCCATGTCAGAGCAAGAGGGAAAGCAATAGTTTCCTAAAAGTGTAAAAGGTTAGGAAACAATGGTTTGTAGATCCAAAATATCAGTAGCTAAAACCACTCTTCAGGACAAAGGACATAGTGTGATGCTGTAAGGTGGGGAGCCCAACCAACCCATGAGATGTCAGATTCCCACCTCTAACGATAATTCTTCTCCATCGAAGGCAGTTCGATGGGGAATAAGATGGAGGACTGTCTGTGCACCAACACTCATACCGCATCACTACCGTCCTTTGTTTAAATGCCAAGGCTCACAGGAGGACTTGAGTAGAAACCAGCCAACTGCAAGAGGACTGTCCCAGACAGTTAGAAGATTGGGAGGGGCTGATGGAGGTTTCATGGGGAAGGATTTGGGGGGAATAAGGACAGAAGAAACAAGGAGTCTGATTCCAGGGATGAAACTCAGAATTGATTATGTAAAAATGGGTAGAATAGAAGGATCTGCTTATAGGATAAGAGAACACAGAAGGGGCAATACTGTAACCTGTTCACCCTACCACTTCCAAAGGATGACTAGAGGGGTAAGGTGAAGGAGGTGAAAATTATTCCAGGAAACTGCCCTCCATAAATCATGCCGAAGATAACCTGAATTTTTTTCCAATTTGGAAAGAATTCATGCTCTGAACTTCAGACAGATCTTGGCTTGAAACCATCGGAAGTAAAAGACATGTTTTAAATCAATGTTATTTCTATTTTCCCCCTCCCTTCCTCTCAACATTTCCCACTCCCCATGGAGACCCAGAAACTCAGCTCCTCAAGATCAAGGAAAGGAGAAAAGATTAACACAATCGTTATTGAGCAATGTGTGTGAAGGGGAACTTTTCATTTTGGAAAAACGGATATAAATAAGTTCAGTTAAAACACACTCACATTTGGTCAAATCTGTCACTGGTCCTGGCTAATCGGCCTAAGCATCCTTCCTGGCGCCTACGTGAGAAGGCTGACGGCTGTCTTGAGGGGACTGTCTTGTGGACGGGTCAGGCCGAGGGCAGGACTAGTGATTTCTATGGAAATGGCAGGGGAGAGGAATCTGGCTCACTTACCAGAGAGCCTGTATGACCGACTTCCCCTCCCTGGGGACTTGCAGCAGAATCCACATGGCCCTGGCAGGTCAGACGCTACAGAAGAGCACAGTGTTGGCAGCCCACCACAGCCTGCCATTCCATTCTCAGGAAAGCCTTTCTTGCTCAGCGCTTCTGTAGCTTCCCCTCACATATCAAACTAGGGAGATAATCCCTCTCTTTCCTCCTCACAACAATGTGGTGACACAACACAACAGCCTGGACACTTCATATAACGTAAGCACTACGTAAACACAGCACAGCTCCATGGTACTCCACGTGTGCCGAAGTACTCGCAGGCCTCCCAGTAGGATGAGGGCCACAGAGGCATCCTGGGAACCACGTCTACCCCAGTTCCAAGCAGTAACTGACACCAGGAATCTGCTGGGCGAAGCTGGGAGAGGTGGCATCCCCCCCTGAAATCTGGACCTTCTGTAGTAGAAACGTGGCCTCAAAGAGAGCTCCCCCAGGCATCCGACCACAGAAGAAGGAACAACTCAGGACCAGTGACTCCACCCAGACCTGCCTGCCCCACCCTCGGGCCATTAGGGAAATCAGGGGCTCCAAAGGCAAGGAAGGAAGGAGGGGGTAAAAAACTGAATCATAAGTACAGGATTTTCAGCTGGCAAACGACCGTGTTATGGTGCCAGCCCCGACCAGATGTTTACATAGTTAGATGGAGGGATTCTCTAGTAGAGGGATGCTGGAAGCCAAGCTTCCTGCCCCTCACCCAGGCCACCATACCCCACTGTCTATCAAAATTCCCAACACCTCTCCTTTCTCCCAATACTTTCTCCTTTGCTGTCACTGAGAAACGCATCTTGGCCCAGGTAAACTGGAGTCCCAAGAAGGAACGGGCAGGAGGTGAGAAGGTAACTCTGAACAGGTCTTCTGTAGGCGGGTACAGAGCCTGAGAAAATATAAAGGGCTAAGAGATGGCAGTTAGAAAAAACTGTCACCTTCAAGGGTAGGAGAGAAGACTACAAGGAAAGGCCCAGTGCGCACTCCAAGAATGGAGCTCCATCTCCTAACCGGACACGTGGCCCGGAGGCCTTGGGACGGAAATTCCTCCCCGCTATTGAAGGGGCACCTTGCACACGACGGAGAACCCCGAGGGCTAGAGTCCCTCCATCTAAGTCCCAATACCTTCCCACAACTTGATGACCCCAGGTATTTAATAACAACAAGATGAGACGCATTCAGGGTAGGCTTTTAATTGAGGCCATTAAGGCTTTGCCAGCACGCTAATTCAATAAAAGAACAGAGCTTTTCTCTATGTAACAGTTACACAAGCATATCAAACGATGTCAGTGTTACTGTGTTATATGTACATGGCCCTGGACACTTGTCAAAACCTATCGTTTCCTTTGCTCCTTGTAACAGCCCGTGAGGGGCCTGGAAAGCTGGTTATTCCCATGTTGCAGGTGAAGAGAGCACGGCAGAGATGAACCAACATACGTATCTAGGGCTGTGCAATAAGAGAGCAAGAGCTAGAACACAAATCCTACTGATGCCCAATCCTGTCTGTTCCTCTGCTCTTTCCACGAGGTTTCACAGCCTAAACTCCCTCTTAGGAGAAGGAGGAGAGGCAATTTAGGAGGTTTCCTAGACCATCTCCAACCCACTCTCGACGCAGTTCTACTCAGCTCCTCAAACATAACAGCCTGCCCCTGCCTCCTAGTTTGGCCCCAACTGACTTGGAATCCTACCATCTCCGGGTTGGAAAGGTCCTTACAGGTCCTCTAAGCCAACCTCCCTTCAGAGGGCTGAAGTCTTTCATGTTCTCCTTGGCCTAACCTCATAATCGCTATTGCTGACAACCCCTCACAGGTCCTCCTTCCCCGGGAGGAGTGGCTGGGAACAGGCCTGCTCCCCGAGAGTGAGGGAGGTGAAGCTTCCTGTTGCCCAGCCCAGCAGGGCACTTCCTGAACGGCAGCATCCCCACACTGGCCCCACTCCACACTTTCTGCAAAGGAGCAGCAAGACACACAAGTGGAAAACGAGATGGGAGCCTTACCTTTCTTTTCTTCTCTCAGCTGCTCCCCTGGAGATCCTCACACCCCATCCAGCACTCCATTTCCAAAACTGAGACTCCCAAACCGGAGACACCAAACAAAGTGCAGCTTCTCTCCTCTGATCCGCGTCCAAAGTCCATGGCTGAGTGTCCTCTGAGGGGGAGGAGTCTGGGGGGGAAGGGGCAGGTCCGGACCCCTCCCCCCCCTCTGCGGGCGTCAGTGTCCCTCCCAGGCGTCTGGTATGGCCCTTCATTCAGCTGGCTTCTCAGGCCCAGATCCTGGTGGTAGGCGGGTCCCAGCTACTATCCCATCTCGGGCTCAGGGAGGGGAAGTCATCCACTGCGAACACTGGCCCCTCTGTCTCCTGCTGGGGCTCCGGAGAAGACAGAGGCCTTCGAACCGGCATGGCCCAGGCGGCTGCCTCCTGCGTTAACCTGCAGAAGATTTAAACATTACGCCACTTTCTAATCTATTCTACTCCCAAGTGGATTCCCAAGGCTTCCCACCTAAATCAGAGCCCTTGATTACACTCTACCGTGAAAAGCCCAGCCTCACACACTCCACAACATACACAAGGTACCTTCTCCACTCACATACGGCCCCCTGCCACCCCCTCGGCATGGATCAGGATAAGGCACCTACTCTCACAACAGAAAAGCGGCCAGAAGCACTGACGGGCGTGTGGGGACTGCCTTCCCAGAAACGTGGACAAGAGCCTGCCCTCCCGTCCTGCCTGGTGGGTGCTGCACTGATCGCCCTGCATCTCCCAGGCTCCTCAAGGTGTCAGCGCTCCAACCGCCGCTCTCCGCGACGGAGCTCCATCCACTCGGACCTTCCACTTGCACTCGGCAACCTCGCCTACATGCAACTCTGCAACCTCACCTCACATGCAACTCTGCAACCTCACCTACATGCACTCTGCAACCTCACCTCACATGCAACTCTGCAACCTCACCTCACATGCACTCTGCAACCTCACCTCACATGCAACTCTGCACCGCCACCTCCCCCTCTGCTTCCAAAACTGCGCCGGGGATGTAACTCCTCATCGCTGTCCCACTCCTTCCCGGGCCACTCCCGGGAGTGTGCGAGGCCCGCCCCGGCCTGCAGCAACCCCACGGGGTTCCAACTCCTCGGTCCCGGAGCCCACCCGGCGCCCCTCCCCTCCGAGTTTATTCCTCAACACGCACACAAACACACACTCCCATTTCCTTCCTGTAGGGGCGTGACGGCCACATGACCCCCACCCGTGCCCCGCCGCCAAGAACTTAACTCCTCCCACTCCTCGCCTCCGAAACGCCGGGCTCTGGGTTCGCCGGAAAGGGGGTGACAGCGACCCTGCCCACACGACCCCCACCCCTCTACCGCCGGGCCGAGCCTCGCCCTATCTGCGCTGGGGCGTTACCTCGATCCCGCCCGCCCCGTCTCGGAAGGAAACCGCGTCCCGCCCCGGGTCCGACAACAGGCCCCATTCCGGGTCCCCAAGGCCGGCCCAGGCCCCACCCCCTCGACCCTCGGCGGCCCGGCCCTCCCCTCGCGCTCGTCCCCGCCCCTCCCCATCCACCGCGGCCACTTCCGCCCGTCCTCCGGAAGTGAGGCCAAGCAACGGCCACCTCCCCTCTTCCCGCCTTATCTAGCCCACAGCCCCTGCCCATCACCACCGCCGGCACGGGAGCCTGAGACCTGGGTCTGCAGGGCCTGAGGTGGTTCTACAGTCACTGTTCACAGGACTGGAGGCCAGGTGTGGGCGCGGCGGGGCCTGGGAAGGAACAGAGCGGGGGGCTCAGGTGCTGCCGCGCCAGGAGGGGCGGAGCAGAGAGTGTGGCGAGAGCCGGCGGAGGCTTCGCGGGAAGAAGGGCGCATGCGTCACGAGCCTCAGCCTGTCGCGAGTGTTGGTGCTCGGCCGGCGTGGCTCGGCGGGATGTGGGCGGGGCGGGGGCGGGGGCGGGGCGAGGAGGGCGGAAGTGGGGGCGGGGCCTGCGCGCTGCGGCCAAGTCCCTTTCCCTGACCTAACATCGTCTGGCGACCTGGGTTCTGGGGAAGCCTCCGGCCGCTCCTCTCCTGGACGGCGGTCTCCGGCGGAAAGCGGTTCAGAAGCTTTAAGGCCCGGGTCGGCCGTGGTTGTGTTGAGAACTGCGGCAGGGCCAGAGGAAAGTTATCTTTTGTTCATCCCTTGCTCTCCCGCTGCGCCTCGCGGACCTTCCTCGGCGATGAAGAGAAAGAGAAGGGTGAGCGGACTCCAAGCCCTTCTCCCCGCGCGCACTGCGAGCTGCAGAGGGATTTGCCGGCGGCGACCCGCCTAGAGAGCCCTGCAGGCCGGACGCGATCTCCCTGGGGGCTGGCCACGTCTGAAACACTAGCCGGCGGGGCCCCTGTTGCATGCCCCCTGGGACATGTCTCCTCCGAGAAACCGCCCCCCTGCCCCCCCAAACCAAGGGGTCCGGGCCGCCTGTCCCTGCTTGAGCCAATTCAGCAGAGACAGGGGTGAATCATGAGCGTTTATTGCAATAGCGCCGGCAGCAGGGAGAGCAGCAGGTCGTCCACAAAATCTGCTCTGCACCCCACCCCCCCATAAGCCAGCTGCTTATATAGGGTAGAAGGGCAGAGATTCGGTGAAAACAAGAATTACAGGCATGGGAAAGTAGGCAGGGTATATGGTTGCAGGTAATGGGACTGGGGGTGCCTGTAACCATTATACCACCAGGACTAAGTTGTTTCAGCGAGATGGTAAATATTTCCATAATGATAGGCAGCTCTGGGAAGAGGAGGGTGGGCTGCATTCCGATGTTAGCGCCCATGTACCAGGGTGTGCAACGCTCAGCCAGGTTAGAATGTGCGTTTTCTAATCAGCAAAACAGTCACGGTTAACAGAGCATGATTAAGATTTTTTGTAGGGGAAAAAAAAAGATTTTTTGTAATTATAGCTGGTCCCACTATTCTATTTCTGCCCCTAATAATTAGACTTACAAGTTCCGAAAATGCCCTGGTTGCATTTTTTCTAAATATATTGAGCTGACTTGTCCCTGACTTAACACTGAATCCAAGAGGAGTTACTAAGTTTTGGACTTCATTATGTCGTCCATTTAATGACATGCTCTAGAATCTTGCCAGGACCATGGATAGGCAGGCTGTTGTTTGTTTTTGTTTTTATCCTTTTTGAAAACTGGAACCTAGAGCACCCTTTTGGCATATCTTCTGTGATGTGATGAATTTGTGGATGAAAAAGGGGCCACATGCTAAACCTGACCTCGTCAGGGGAGGCCTGCAAACTCAGAGACCTACAGTGACCATGCAGGATGATCAGAAATTAAAACTTTCTAACTGAAAGCAGTTCATGGCGTACTCATGTCCTAGGCCAGTGGTCGGCAAACTGCGGCTCTCAAGCCACATGCAGCTCTTTGGCCCCTTGAGTGTGGCCACGAAGTTTCAATCGCACTGTACGTGGGCGCCCGCATGTGGTATTTTGTGGAAGAGCCACACTCAAGGGGCCACAGTTTGCCGACCACTATCCTAGGCTGGTGTTTTCCCCTAACAAAGGTCAGTCTTCACATTAACTGAGCTTGTCTGGGTGTTTGTCCTTTTTTTCATCCCTGATAACATACCTTTGGAATATCAAAGTAATTTCCTTTCCCCACCCCTCAAAGCCTGAGCCAGGGTAAGAAACCACAAGTCCCCCTCCTCCCTTTTTTTTAATGTATTTTTATTGATTTCAGGGAGGAAGAAAGAGGGAGAGAGAGAGATAAAAAAAAAATCAGTGATGAGAGGGAATCATTGATTGGCTGCCTCCTGCACGCCCCACACTGGGGATCAAGCCCACAACCCGGGCACTTGCCCTGACGGGGAATCATCCCTAACCTCCTACTTCATAGGTCAGCGCTCAACCACTGAGCCACACCGTCCGGCAGTCTCTCATTCGTATGTTGATTGTTAACTGTTAACTGTCTTACACCTGCCTTTGTAAAAGAAGGATATGTCTGTTCCTTTTACTTTTTATCCAATCCCAGAGATTTCCCTGGTTGGCTTTCTCCCACCTCCCTAATCTATCATCAGTGAATTTCGTGTAACCCCATGACATGTCTTCCCCTTTGACTCTGATGTATAAAATGAGTGGTAAAACTGCCATTTTCGGGAGCACTTTCTCAATCCGTTGAGATTTTGCTTCCCAGCAGTTGTCAGTTTGGCTCAAATAAACTCATAAAAAATTCTTACAGGTTTGGACAATTTTCTTACCTCAACACTTAAGAAATATGTATTTGGCCTTCACCCACCCTTCCTGTGTCTGGCACAGAACCCTACACCCTTGGAACTTCCTAAGTGATAAGAGCACTAGGAGCCTCTTTTGTTTTGATGTTTGGTCTTAACTGCTGTTCCTGACACGCTCCTTAAACTCTTGTGGTTCTGGGTGATAAGAGGGTTTTGTTGTAATGAGCTTCTGAATGAGGCCTGGTCACCAGAAAGACCAAGCCAGGATGAACGCTTGGACTCTTCAGCCCCTCCCACCCCCCCCCACCCCCCCACCCCCATTCTCCTGAGAAGGGAGAAGTGCCGCCAGTGGAGTCAGCGACCAAGCATGCCTGTTGTGATGAAGCCTCCATTACATCCCAGCAGTACGGGCTCAGAGGTCTTCAGAGTTCGTGAACACTTCAACTTCCTAGGAGGGCAATGCACCCCCAGCTCACCCGGGAAGGATGCGCCAGTGCTCGGGACTCCGAACCTCGCCCTGTGCCTTTCTTCATCGGGCTGTTCGTCCTTTGGTAAACGGAGTTTTGTGAGCTGTTTTAGCAGATGATCAAGTCTAAGGGGGAGGGCGTCATGGGAAACCTGGGGACCTACTACTCGGGATTAGCAGCTGGAGTCGTGGGCGTGGGAGCCAGTGCCATGGGACTGAGCTCTTACCCCGTGGGATCTGATGCTAGATGTTTCAAGTAGATCGTGTCAGAATTGAGTTAAATTGTAGGACAACCAGCTGGTGTCACAGAGCATTGACTGACAACCCACATATTTGGTGTCAGAAGTGAAGTATTCATAGAGTAAAGAAGGTGCACAGGTGGGAAAACTAGGGTTTTTGTCATTTTTGGTTAATCCTCCCTCGATATTTTTTCTATTGATTTTTAGAGAGAGTGGGAGGGAAGGAGGCAGAGACAGAGAAAGAGAGACAGAGAAACATCGAAGTGAGAGACACATCTATCGGTTGCCTCCTGCATGCACCCTGGCTGGGGCCGGGATCAAACCTACAACCCAGGTACATACCCTTGACTGTGAATTGAACTTGTGACCCTTTTATGCATAGGTCAACACTCTAACCACTGAGCACCACCGGCTAGGGCAACACTAGGTTTTTCTAGTACGTACAGGGTGGGACAAAAGTAGGTTTACAGTTGAGTATGTGGAATAGTTTATTCTTGTGTTATTTATTATTGTGTTATTTTCCATATGAACAACTGTAAACTACTTTTGCCTCATCCTGTATATTGGTCTCACTTACGCTTGACTTCTAACTGGATCCTAAAGGGGCTACTGCTAATTTCTGGACTTCATGTGTCATCCGTTCCTGATGTGTGAAATCTTGTCAGGACTGTGGACAGATTGGCAGCCTCTGTCTCCTCACCTCCCTCCATCCTTGAAAACGAGCCTGGCTCTAGTATGTTCTGGCATATCTTCTATCCCTGTGATTTCTTATATTCCTAGAAGTGACTAACTTGCATATTTTCAGTACTGGGAATATAATAGTTGCTGGGTCAGGAGTCTTGAAATTACCTTTTTATTTGGAAAGATATCATCATTAGAAACCGTTGAACAAACTCAGAGCCTGGAGGCTTTGGGTAAAAATAAATGATAGATTTATTAAGGGTCTTAGTTTGGACACTGGGAACACAGCTATGCAAAAACCCAGAAGTGCTCTGAAGAAGAAAGAAAAGTTAAGATCTTTTATAGTAAAAAGTGCATTCTTGAGAATAGGCAGCCCTGCATTCTTAGCCCAAGGAGTGGTCCACAGGTTGTCAGTCAGATGTCAGGCTGGATGATGGGTGCCAGGTGGTCTAGGCAGCAGTTGCCACCTTTTGGACCTCACGGACCACCAGTGGTCCGCGGACCACCAGTTGGTGACTGCTGGTCTAGAGGATGGGTGCCAGGGGGTCTGGTCACATCGATGGTCTGGATAATAGATGTCAGGTA